CTGAAACATCATGAAGAGTCGTTGTTCAGATAGCTACTTAAATTTATCCATCTGAATTTGTCGAATACTCTGGTTTGGAATTCCCTCCAGATTTGTCTTTTAGTTCAGAACGCTGATGTGCACAGTGATGCAGCATGGACAAAATAGCAACCATATTTGTTTTCTTATTGATTTCTACTCTCAGATGAAGTCCGCAAATTCTGAAAAATATATCCGTAGGTAAAATTTTTGAAGGCAAATTAAGCTGTATTCGCTTGAGTCTCTAGTCCAAAACCATGTAATTATAAGCTCTGTCCATTAGACCCGTGCTTAATGCAGGAAAATGCCCGAATTTACATGTTGCCCAAATTTTTCCCCTCACTAATGTAATATGTTCAGAGGACTATTCAGCTCGCGTTTGCGATCTTGTCATCAGCCTGTTTTTACCCAAATCCACCAATAGATATCCATGGCTGGTTTAGGTAGTCCTTCCGTACAACATAGGGCAAATCTAGGGACTGTCTCGTTGAAGCTTTTCCTCGCAAACCTATGCTCCTGTCCTGCTTATTTTTGAAAACAAAGTTGTCGGGATAGAAATTTTACGCTGTGTTCATCGTCTCCGGGGAAAAACCACTAAAAAATCTTTCTGATAATAAAACAAAGGTTTGCATGTGTGGTTGCCTGACTGAGTTTGAGCAAAGTTTATCTGATTTTTACCAGTTGCTTGTTTCTCGGGCTTTGAACATTTTTTCGCAAAAATGTCGGCGACCCACGTCGCGATAAGATACATCTGCACTAGTTTGTTAATGATCTTGTTCGGAAAAAGCTAAGAAGGCTTCAACATTATTGAGACTTGTCGCATTGTAAGTAAAACAGTGTCGTACAGGTGGACATTTTGGCTTGTATTATCAATAAAGCGAAAGACACATGAACGATTACGGCCATTTAGGGATGCATTAGATATGCCTGGTGTGCAAATTGCTGCTGAGGCCAGTGGTCCTTTTTCTCTCTTTTCAAATTTTATGGAAATAATTAACTAATAAACTTGCTCTGCGAAGCAGTTGCTTACAATTTTTCAACCAATTTTGTTTTTGTATATATGTCATGTACTGAATTGGTCCAAAATACTGTTGGAATTGAATCAACTTATGTATAAAATAAGCAAAGTTGCGTTAGCATGGTCTTCCTTGTTACTAGTTACACACATTATGCATCTCCCTAAAAATTGTTAAATAGTTCAAGAATGAACTTCAACCACTAGTTTCAAAATATATTCATGATTACAGTATCCAGTGCATCTGTTGTGTGCAAAGGTCTACTTCCGCTTAATACAATATCCGTTAGTTGGCCCATTTACGTCTTTATCTATGCCCGGGGAAAGATGCAAAGCTGGGTAAATAGCAGGTACTGAGGACCGATCAATTTTGATGTTCAAATAACACACCGTCTCCCTTGAGGTTTACCAGTTCAAAATAGCGATGCTCTTTGGTTGGGATTTACAGTGGGTTTTTCGTGATGTTTGGCTCTGCGAAAGCCAGCCTATGAAAGCCTAAAATATCTTGTGATGTCATACTGTCGCATTTTACTTGAGTACTGCAATGGCGGAAAACGCAACTGTCCGTTTTCTATAAGTAGCATTATTAGTGATAATAGGAATTTTTTCAACGAATTTGCTCTTAGTATGGAAAATATGGCTCAACAAATACTGTGGCAGTAGGGGGCTGGTCCATTTTCATGTGCTTAAAATAGAAAGGTACAAGATGCACTGCATAACACGCATCTGCAATGGCGGAAAACGCAACTGTCCGTTTTCTATAAGTAGCATTATTAGTGATAATAGGAATTTTTTTCAACGAATTTGCTCTTAGTATGGAAAAATATGGCTCACAAATACTGTGGCAGTAGGGGGCTGGTCCATTTTCATGTGCTTAAAATAGAAAGGTACAAGATGCACTGCATAACACGCATGACAATCGAATGTGAATCAAAATACGTTTTGTATAGTTAGGGTATGTATTATCTGTCTAAACTGGTCATTCACAGAGTTTTCAACCGCCTAATGTTGGACAATGCTTTTAGAAAAACCTCCTGATGTTAAAAAATCTATCCTATACAACCAACTTAAGAATGCACTTACCAGTTTTCTTTATGAAAGCGTCATCACACTGCGTGTGCCGCTTATTTTGGTACGTTTGTAACGACCATCCCTCATTAACTAACGTGAATCCCGTGGCAAACTTTGCTAAACTTGAACTAATCACGCTGTTTCTCGTCCACATAAGCGCGCATTTTGAGTAGAATTTATGGTTCCACCAATGGGACGACAAACCATTCGGTGACTGAATGGCCAAAGAAACGAATCAAGGGCTCTTTGAAACCGATTTGTCACATGAGATATGATGCACGGATTGTTTTACATTATTAGCATAAAACCGCCCATTTATTGACCTTACCGCCAACATGAAAATGCAGATAATTTCCACATACTAGCAAGCTTGTTCGAAGTGGTTAATAGCCACTATTTGGGTCGCTACACTTTTCGTTATGCGTTACGCTCTGCGTCCGGTGGGTTAGACTTTCCTCTCAGCTGATTGCGCCGGTCGTTGCGTGGGTCAGTGTTGATGGCTATTTTACTAGCCACTCGTCTATTTGACAAACCAAAATTTCTCTGCAACTACAGCTGAATTAAGGTAGGACGCACAAGGCAGAGAAGCTTGGCGAAACGTTTTTTATTTCGGAGCCTATATATTGCAGTACGTCGGAAGTATGTATTGTTCGGTTGAAACCGGCCTCCATGTGTAACCAGTGGAGAATGAATTTAGTTTAACATGTCTTCTCCCCGGATAGAGACAACATGTCATCCCTGGAAGAGATGAATTCAAAAGTACTTTGAAAAGTTAGGTGAGTAAAAATTTAAAAAATCTAACCGTTATTCAGTCTACTTCGGCTCACAGCATAATGAGCACCAAAGCGTTTTATCAGAAGCACAGAGCCATAAAAGCACCAAATAAACTATGGCAATCTTGTTAAACGTTGAGATAGTATAGTACCATACTGAAAGTGGCGGGATAACTCTAGTAAAATGAAAGTTTACGCGGTTCAACGATACACATAATCGTCGCGCAACGGTAGTTAATACCAAAACATGAACGACTCCAGTCTGTCCGATATCTATGAGCAGACGTTGTGAGTGCTTGCTGAAGCAGTAATTGGGTCTCCAAGAGGTGCCCGATGAGAAAAGCTGTGCGCCCAGAACGGATCACGCAGGAGAAACCATCTAGCAGAGATTATCACAGATTACCACATTCCGGAGAAAATTAACCAGCACCTAACAGATGCTTGTAGCAGGCAAAAGATGCACAATAAGTTATACATGAAGCAATCAAATAAATTTTGAAAATATGGTTTTTAATAGCCTGAAGGTTTCACAGCATTCAAAAATACGCGCAAATAATAAGTCAAATCCAGTTGTTTGTGAAGTGCTATGGTAAGAGCTTTTCTTTAAATGCGTCATTTTCGTGCATACTTTCATCCTCAAGTTTTGAGATATACGATCTGCTTCGGTAGCTGGAAAACTTTTAGCTCGCGTACAATTTCCACAAAATTCGTACCAAACTTATACGTCATTTTTGACAACGTTCTCGTTTACTCCAAGTTTGGCTTGCACACAAGTGGAATTCAGTTTAAAAAAAACGTTGCTTCTCTCGAGGATAAAACGAATATCCATCGTTATACAAGCGTTGCATGCCTGACAAAATAATTGCCCCATCCCCCTGGGACCTACGTCTATATCAGTCTGAACGAAAATATCTGGTACTTTTGAGGACATGCAATATTCCGTTGATACGACGCATATTGTGTATCCAGTGTATATAAATATGTTGTGCCAGCAGTATTGGGAACTAAAAAAATGCATGTACAAACAAATGGGTCTCAGGTTTATCTGTCGCATTAAAAAGTAACAAGTATTTTGCACTTCTGCGCATACTGATTTACTGATAAGACTGTGGCTGTGCTAGTATTGAGAAGTAAATGTTGTGTGAATAAAACTGGATGAAACTGAATCCCCCGCCACTATGCTGTGGTAATAAACTTCGGACTGGATGCAAACCCGTAACAGAAAGCAATATACGGGACCTACAAGCTGGCCGCTGTTAAAGGCTTGCACATTCTTGATTGAATTCGTCACGCATTAACTTTGTAACACGGGTTGATCTTTACACATGCATTAATATTTTTTCACCAGCGCATAGATCGACAACGAGGAGTTGCATGCTTTGTACGTGGTATTAAGCGTATTTTTATCAGTGCGGAAAATAACCGCACTTCAAAAAATTTAAAAACGTTTTGACAGAGTTTTAGATAATATTCAGGAATCTTGACGTTTTGTGTTTCTTGCGGATGACAACACATTTTACGGATAAACGTTACCAATCTTCCGTTGAGGTTATTGTGAGGAAAAAGAGCTTCTTGGCCAATGAGTTTCTGTGGAAGAGCGCAGTGTGATACGCGCAATAATAAAGGACATTAATTGCCGTCAGTTTTGTTGCATATCATTTAGAGAATGTATTTGGGGTTTTATTTCAGAATCTTTTCACCGCTATATGGAGGGAATCATTTTCATCATCATCATCATCGGCACCTGGATAAAATGATGAATGCCCATGCTAAAATGTTGACCTATACTATCTAGTAAAATTTGTCCACCACAACTAGCATACGCATATCATTCATCCATTTGGCTACCTACGGGCAAACAGTGGAGTTAAGTAAAAAAACAATTAGTTGGCTGTGGTTGTGAAACTTTTGGCATACCAATATCTCCTTCGGTCAGAATGTACCACTCCGTTTGCCAGGGTGACAGTCACACGTAAAAAGACTTTCTGGTGAACCAACTGGTTCTGTCTGTCACCCTCGNGGTTCTGTCTGTCACACTAGCATCAATGCACGCTCTCGCTCCATTGTGGTTGGCTTGCATTAGATAGCGGGAAATAAAAACCGGAAGCTACGTTGCCAGGACAATGGCTCTTTCCCTGTTACATGTGGACCTGGTCCGTTACACACAGAAATTTCAGCTGAAAGCCTCGGGTTTCGCCCACTTTCATTTGGTGCTCATCGATGATGGTTAGTGCGTGATTGTCTAACATGCTCAAAGAAGTAAAACGAGAGCAAAGACTGTGGGACATTTTCATTCTGTGTAAGTATTTTTCATTCCAGTTCTCTGATGAAATTTCCATTGTGGTGGGAAAATATAATGTAAGCATTACACATGGTGTAATTTGAGCTCACATACGACGAATTAGAACTTTAATTTTATTGCTCTTGCCATTCCGAGAGGGTACCACTGACATTTAGAGTACTACAGTAAAACGTTTTATACGCTTTCGGTAGTACTAACATCAAGATTCGTCGGAATCGATGCCATTTTTCATTATTATTAGAATGTATTTTGAGGTTCCTACTGAATCAAAATACGGCACTTATGAATGTGTCTAATTACAGTGCAGAAACACTGTTATAGGAATTAGCAGATTTTCAAGGAACACACGCCGAATTAACAAATTGCTGACTTCGATCTGAGGATACCCGATAATGTTAATTAGAGATTTATTCCTTTCAGTAAAGCTGACAAGGTAGGTCGCACCCACATAAGTTTATTGCAGCATACATCAATCGCAGTTCCACTAATTATTTCAAACTATTTTTGCATACTGGTTCATCTGAATCACATAACGGTACCTGCAAACAGCTTACCTCGATAAAAACGTTTTTTTCAAGTACCTGAATAATTATAGTAGCTTCGTTATTTTTCTAACGAAGTGTTATCGGAAGGGTCATTCAGAGATAGAGACGTGACGGGCATATACTGAAGTAGGTATTGTCATGCACACCCCAGTTTTAGAAAGCTTATTGTTTCCGTGGATCAACTGTTGACTGAGCATTCAGCCTCATCTACGGTCCCGCAGAGGGCAATTAAACTTCCTTATCCGTCATTTACTGACTGATAATTTCGCCAGCAAATGCGCATCTATCTTATATACACTGCAAACCGAAGTTTAGTTTATCAAACTGGGTCTGTAGAAATTGATCCGGATCGCGACATTGCGTACCTAGAAACAATGCGTTGTTTAGTGTTATTTCCTGTTAACCTATTCCGCATCCAATGTCATATTCTATCGATCTGAATACGGCGAAGTGAATAATATCTTCCATCGAAACGGAACAGCTTTCAGATATTGATGCGGCTAATGGCGCCATGTGGACAAAACCCCGGTAGATTTTTCACGTGACCTTTTCATGTAATGCTTGATGGATACGCAATACTGCATGCTAAACAAGGTTGAGGAACTAATGAACCCTCTTGTTATTTATACGGAAGCGTTGCAGCTGATTTTTTTGGAAACACCTAATTGACTTCAGGTTTCTACATACGACCCTTTGGAGTTGAGGTAAAGCTTAGTAAAACAAGACAATATAGAGCCCCGAAATCGGTGGGTGAAAGTCATATAATACTGGTTCTTCAGAGCCGTCACTATACAGAACATTCTTTTTAGCTTTTTAAAAGGCGTAAACGTTACTGCAAGATGCATAATTTTACTCGTCGATTAGTGCAATCTCTGTGCGTTCCACTGAAGAATGGCTCTTAATAACAGAAAATCAAAGCGCTATTTGCAACAGAAAATTACAACTGTCCTCTTGTACCCGAATTTCGATAGTTTGTTTGCTATGCATTATACAAAATCAAGCACGATGTGAAGTGCGGCCATCAATGTTCTTTTGTTGTACTGACACTGCAAAAATGGCTACTTGTGGACCATACATTTTTTGTCTCGGGGAGCATGAAAGTCACGTGCCCGTATAGCCCATATTCTCAGTTTGAAATGATTTGTGAATTTCTAGCCTAACCAAACTTCACTTATGAGGCTTTGAATTCATTTAATGGTTGCGAGTTCTTTGAATTCACTCGTACAAGCAATTGCTACATAAACCAAGCTGTTGGTAGTTTACCGAGTTCGCTTAATTTCAAGAATTTCAGTGGATATACTAGTTAGGCTGAATTGTTGACACGGCCATCCAGGCGAAGAAGTCTAAAACTCACAGACAAGCATCATTTTCCAGTCATCTTTGAAATTTGGGATTACGTGCGGCACCGTTAGTTAACCTTGGATCACGAAACTACCCACCAAATAGTCTCACGCCGACAGGAGTAGTTGCTTGGATGTAATTATAATATGATTCACACACATGTATCGCGTGAGCTTTCTTGCAGCAAAAGTAAGACATTTAATCGATGGTCCAGAGGAAAGCACTAGTGAAATTTGGCTGTTATGCTTTCTAGGTGAATCAAGAAACTGAACCACTGTATAAGTTACAATCGCGTTTTTACTTTGTAAACCACGACATCATTATTGTGATGAGCACGTCCTGTTGGATAATTATCGCTGATGACGGCATTCACTAAAGGTCTTGCTTGAAAATTAGTCATAGCATTGCCGACCAATACATGATGAACTTGTTTGGTATAAACATCAAGAACATAAAAACTCTAAACAGAATAATTCTCGCCTGGGGCAATCGGCTTTGGTAACGACGCCAAAATGACAAATTTAGTCGACTTTCCAATCATGTCGGCCAACATTACCGTGGCAAGATATGGTTAGCGTAGAGGTTTTGCAATGTACCGCTGAGTGAATGTAGATAATATTATGGTTCAACGCCCCATCATCTCTCACGGTGACATTTATCCTCCGAATTTCGGGACCGTGCGTTTGTTTGTATATATCCCATACAAAACTCTACTATGAGCTATTTTTACAATGACTGGTTGTCTTTGCTTCTATGCATGGCGACAACATTTGTCAAGGAGACATTTGGTTTTCGCTTCTCCAAGTGGAACTAGAAGAGTTATAACGTAAAAACAAGCAAATTTTGAAATGATACTGAAATGTTTCAGATAAGATACAACCCGTTTTGGCGCACCCCGCTCTCCGGGATCCACCAAATGTCATCAGTCCGATTGATATGTATTTGTACTCAAATCAAATTGAACAATTACTCATAGAGTTTGTGGTTTTTTGCGTAAATTGGGTAGTATGGCATCATGTTAGAGTTTATTGTGAGCTTCTGAATATGTTGCCTTACTTTGTTGGTAAAAGCCAGTCTGCCAGACATATAAATCCATACGAAGTGCCAGTAAACTTTTTTTCAAAGAATTCTTATCAAGGTCGATTTTGCTTAAATACTCCGCGAATCGTGAGCATTCTCGGAACATCTTGCTACGCAAAGCAGCAAATTCAAACAAATGCAAATGTATGTTGAATTATAGCCCTCATATTGAATCGAATTTTTCGCCAGGTATTCACAATTTTCTTATATTTGTATTGATGTGGAGACAACTCAGATCCAAACTGCAAATTTACCGAGTGCGGTTGCAGTTTGTACACGCGACTATCTGAGTAAACAAAAAGCCAAATTTGATGATTACTCTAATATACTGTAGATATAAAAATCTAACCATAATCTAATGGGCCAGTGGTGCAACAGATGTAAGTATAATGGTAAACATATTTCAAAGTTTTAAACATATCACAAAATACAGAACGACCTGATGTTAAAGCTGACAATAAACCTGATTTTCTGCATCATGAGAAATCAGTGCTGTTGATCTTCAAACTTGGTTACCCACCTTAATATACCCGACTAAGCCTATCTTAAACAATCTGATTCAAATAACGGTCAAGCTTTAACAGAATTTGTATTACTCATATGCCCAATGTCATATCATAACTGAGCGCCACAAAAAAGTTGAAAACACCGTGTAGTAGGTGGAGTGACACATGTGAACTCCGTTTATGATGTTAGTATGAGGGCATCTTAAAGTGTTCATCGATGTTCCGTCCGGTAGATGGAGACCCAAGGACCACTGTAGATTCATTTCATCCTTGTTGATAATTAGTGGGGTTGCGCCCTCCATAAATTACCTGGCAAGTTTGGACTCCTCACATGTTAGCAACAGCTGAACAGTAAATCACATTGCAAGAGTGACAAGAATCGATAAGTAATGACTTGAAAAGCTTATCAACACGAAAGTGTAGAACTCGCGGTGTAAAGGCTTTGCAGAAGATTTGGAGATTCGGTGATTTTTGTCTTCAATGAGGTAGACAAAATGAACCTCCCTTTTCTAAGCTGGCTAACCGATGTCAGCGGCATTCATGTTGTCAATTGCTTTCCAGACTGATGACTGAGTATTGAAAGTAAGAGCACTCGGAAATTAAACCTAGCTCATGACCCTCCTAACTTCTATACTGAGACTTTGTTAGAATGAACTGATTGGGTTACATGATAGTGAAGCACCAGTATGTTCCCATGGCATCAATGTCAGTGAGGATAACAATGTAGTACCACGTTGGTAGTATAAAACTACTAAATGCCAAAATGTTCTAAGTTTTGCCTCTGTTGCCGGAACAGTGCAATCAAAACTAACACGACGAAGGTCGACAACCAACTAAAAACGCGCGTCTGTGTAACAACCGAGATCTTTGCGTACTTTGGCTTCTGAAACCAAAAACGTAGAGCTTAGATTCAGCAGTTGGGGTCTATTTCTTATAAAAAGTCCCATACAAGACAGTTTTATCTTTTCTGAGGATCACTAGCAAACCGGTCATTATTTATCCCCATGGAGCTTTGAGCCTGGAAATTTGCAGGTAGATTTTTCCAATCTTACCATTAAGCTACGGATGGTTAGAATTTGATACAGTGATCACACATTTAAGGGAATACGTCATACGTCATTACCCTTCAGTCTCCTAGTTCACGTCACGCCGTCTAATGTTGCCCATCCAATAGTGACAGCTTCATGGACAGAATGATTCGTAATCTTGCAAAATTCTTCCATCTATTATGCCCAGATATATTTTCTATTTATTTCGAAAAACCATTTTGCTATTTTAGATGGCATTTAAAATGATATAACTAGGGTGCGTATGTTCCAAATCGAAAAGCTCGACTCCATTTTGAAGTGTGTAAAACTACACTGTATTTTACGAATTCAGAAAGACAAAAAGTGACTTGATTCTACCAGAAAAAGCCTGACAAGCTTTAAGAATTATTTACTAAACCTGTTGGTGGACTATAGAATCCCAAGCGGAACTGTCAGTGTCCGTGGCCTTCCATAGCTGGGACTTACCAAACACGTGTATTTTAGATCTGATCTCGTCTCCCTAAGTACCAAACAAAACTTGGATACTTTCACTCCGGTCTGATCACAAGGACGTTTACGCATATGCAGAAGATCATTCGCTAGTATCCGTTTCATCACACCATTTAAACCATCATCCTTCTTGAAAAGACTGCTGGTAAAAGCACTCTCGCAAGTCTCCGAAATTCACGTGACATAGTATATCAGGGGAGCTACCGAGTAAATTGATCATGGACCAGGGAATTTACCTAGTAGCTTGGACGATGTAATAACAGCTCAGGTGTGGGATCTATTCACTTCACGTCTTATCGTCCGTCGCACATTGTGAAAAAAATGTGTCGACCGAGCGAACAAAAAAGCATCTCCATGTTTGGATTTCTCAACAATTCACAAATAGTCCCTTAGTTATTAAAATCCCAGAGATATCAGGAACAAGTATAACTCTTTCCAAGCGCATAGTATCAATTTTACTCAAATTGTCACTATCACGACGAAAACATTCTGCTACGTTTTGTCAATTATACTTCACCATGACCTGGGAAGTGATGAGCAAACACCACTACAATTTCTGGCTGCAGTCAAATGTGCCTTTATTAAGGAAGCTGAAAAAAGTTTGCCGAAGAAAATGCAAAGTTGCGCAGAGACTTATTGTGCAAAACGTCTCTCCGCCCACATCCCAACCCCTCCGCTATTCCCACCTGTATAAATTTCACTACAACTGCATGTGAACTGTTAGCTGGTGGGTAAAACTGTTTTCAGTTGGCATGATGTCAACTTGGATGCTCATTAGAATAGTGACAGTGCGTTTATAATAGCTGATCAGATGACTGTCAATCTGCTCACGTAGCCTGACACTGAAATTAAAACGAAGGCGAGCGGAATTCATCGTTACACAATTTGGGTAATTGGTTTCTAATCTGTATCTAACCAACCAGGTTATACAATTATTTCCAATCGAATCGGATCTTGATTCTATGCATTTCATATATCTATGCATAAGCATGGTTTTAATTTCCTGATTATGTGCTGCCATGTCATTTCTTTGGTCGAAAAATTGAAGTAGATCACCCTAAGATATCAGCTATCCCGATTGAGAAATTCAGAAATGCTTTACACTAGCAGTTTTATCTGCCTAAAGATTTGCGCATTATTCTCGCTAATATAAACCTGAAACCGTTGATGAAATTTAATTAAGAGAGGAAACGGACAAAACTGTGCACTTCAAGTGAAGAATATTGATCAGACTAATTATATTATGTTAATAGTCTGATGAGACTGGAGAATTTTTAATGAAGGATTCGTCTTATACAAAGCTAATGCACGCTAACTAGCCGTGAAGCACTGCTATGCATTTTTGTTCCTATTCAAAATCATCAGCATTGAACATCTCACGAGGATTCAAATAGATTCAGCCAGCGGTTTGCAACTAGTAATGTGGACATTTTGGCCACCCAGGCCACAAACGACTAACCGGGAATGCGAATAAAAGAAATTTAGCGCCATGTATCCATAAATTCGGAATCCATATTCCCACTGGGCCTGGTTATTCACTGATGAGCCCACCGTTGAAATTTATAGACATTTTGCAATACAACGGTTCTCTGGTGTTTCACTTCGGTGAGGCTAAGAAAATTAGAATGTTGTGGAATATTTTAGCCATTTAGAATGCTCACAGTCACTTGACCACTAGTTCTTAGACCAATTATTTTTATAAAAAGCAGAGTTCCTGAGTTTTTGTTCGTCAGGCTGAGCACGTACACTAGCAGTGAAATCAAACGAAATAAGTTTTCACCACAGTTCTGCTTGATCCATCAGTATAAAGTTTGTGAGTTTTAAAACAGAGGAAAATGTACTATTGAAAGCGCAAAATTTGTGACGCACGTGTAAAAAATATGGTTTTCTGTTAAATTAGTTGATCATCAGTCAACATGTTTTTAGGCTAATACTGAGATCCTGAGAGCGGTAAGCGGTAGATCAGATTTTTAAACTCATGTTTGCACAACACACAGTTCAGAACAATATTTAAGTTTATTTATTTATTTATATATTTGTTTTTATTTAAGTTCTACAAAAATGCAGTGAGCAGATAAAAAGTAACCGCCGAAATCAAGAAGGTTTTTACCTTACTTCGCAAAAAATTTTAGCAAAATATATATGCTTCTAGCCTGCTCATGTTGTGCCATTTTGCACAATATCAACCAAATGTCATTCCATGAATTCGGAATTGAAATAAATTGTGGCTGACAACCACAGAAACACACCGTCGCAAACATCATCCACAAATCCTATAAAACTTACAATATTTTAATTAAACAGAGATTACGGCGGAATGCGGTCACCGTAAATAGATTTGGAACACTATACGCATTTACATCGCACAATACTGCGCTAGTCCGGGAGAGCTATAAATACTTGCTTTGGTAAAGTGTGTTCCCGCACGGTTCTGAATTTGAGGTTTACACAGAAATTGGAAAAGTTATTGCTCGTTCCTAAATAACCAGCATAATTTTTCGACGCGACTTAGACCTATGATTCTATTTGCAACACACATGCTGTGTGTCGCCATTTAGGATATTTGTTGAGACAAACCGTGGAGAGGTCAAACGAACTTATCGGAAACACCTGACTCATGGCGGCCAAAGAATTTATTGGCATTTTGCGTGTGCAGGAAACTGCCGGACTGGAACACCACAGGCGTTCCTGCTCAGGAGCAAAGAACGTTGTTCTTCATTAAACAAAATCGGTGAAATTCATTTTGTAAATGCACCTACATTCCAGGACGCACTGCACCGATCAACGAGGTTTAGGTAAATCACATTCATTTTAGACCACTGAAAACTTCCCAGTTATACCGTTCTAGATGACTTAGTGAGTGGTTGCAAGAAATAAAAATTTGTGACAATCAAACCGGACCCAGAACCGAGTGATCCAATGCCAAATATTTGTTGGATGCAAATGGGTGTCCCAACCTGATTCCACTAAGTAGTGGACAACGATCACCTCATGTTTCACCTGACATGATATTTGAGATACCAGAGTATGTTTGATTTAATTACCAAGCGCGAGAGGATTTCATTTTAATTCAAAGCAAATACCACTCAAAATCAGATGCGGCGAAAATTATATTCCCTAACTTAATAGAACTGCAACAAAATTGAAGTATCCAACTTGCGGGACATATTTTTCTTCTCATAAATTAACTTGATTGTAGTATTGTTGCACGCTGAACGGAACCAAAAACAGTTCATTTTAAAAAAAACGTTTTGGATGTTACATTTTCTTTAAACAGTCTGGCCCAGAATTGTTCTGCATGACTGGACGTGAGAAAATGATTGTAACGACTCTGTGAAGGCATTTGCCGAAACCATGCTTCCTTTAGTATTATCATTTATTTTTGAAGAGCATGGTCACAAACATTAAAAGTGAATGCAAACCAAAAATGCGAAAGAGTAACAGGAGAATAAGGGAGAAAAGAGAGAAAAGTCTTATTCGAAATCATGCCAAGAACAGTTCTAGTCTGATGATGTGAATCCCAATGTATGTAAGGTTTTTGCTATGGAAACACGCGTCTGAAGACCAACAACCGAAGAAACAAACAATGGTGAATGCTTTTCAAGGCGCAGTAAGCGCTAGCACAGTCAAGACTCACACATCAGACACCAAGTGTCCGTCATACTGGGTCTGGTGTGAGAATAAATGGCAAAAATGTATTGGCAGCACTTGCCATATTCTTCACACGTGAACCCGACGAGTCTCTCCTGCGTACTGATTGGAACTGGTGTGGAGGCGCTAGATGATTCGTAGTATACGTTGTCGAAATAACCAGCACATTGAAACCAAACGGAGCAGTTAGCCCTGTCTGGAGTTTCTGAACACTTAGATCACCCAGACTGACGTCCAGGCTACCCGGCCGGCACCACGAGTAGGTGGTTCAGCTTGCCGACTATGTGAATGTAGATCCAACAAACCATTCTACTCCAACGCCTAGGTTGCTTGTTAGCGTTTTCAGAATATGAAAGTGTAATGCTGAGCCATCAGACAGCGTAGTATACTTTATCACGCATGCTGTAAATGAACTCCGTGTAGTCATAAAACATCCGAGTAATTTCAAAAACAACACGAGATATTCTATCACTATATGTATCTGCACAAGCAACCAGACACCCAAAGTCTTTGGTAATCCCAAACTTGTCGCTTTCGTTTCAGTTTTTCTGAAGTGCCAAATAGTGTTCAGTTTACCTGGCTGCACCTGGCCGGAAATGCTAACGCTAAATAACAGAAAACTTTGGTGGACGCACGGGGGGGAACCGTCCCTGCAAACTGTGCTACCAACGCAAAGTGAATGGCACCAACCGGCTGGAAGTTCTCAGTTCGATATGAAAGCGACCAGCGATGGATGGCAACAGTTGTTCATTTCGGACGACCGCCAGTCATTTTGGATACAACAAGTGTGTTTGGATAACCTGCACACGAATCGTCAATGGCATTTAGACAATTCCGGTTCCCCTGATTTATATACTACACCTATATTTCACGGGCTGAACGCGGCAAACAACAGCTGGTGCAAGCGATTCGCTCTCCGTCCGCGAACCTACACATATGTCCATCATTTGGAAACTAACAGTATCTATCCTGTACATTACCGTGTTGAGTGTATCAGTGACGCAAGCAATGAATCGCGACATCGATATATTGTGAGACTGCATGTCGCCCAACAAAGGTGAGTCAACTCACTCTTTGTGAAATACAGTATACTTTATTGCAGGCAAGATGTAAATAATAGCAGTTTGTGTGAAGGTAGTGAACTTGCACACGTGGTTGTTTATTGTTAGCGTATCAAACCCATATTGTAATTCAGCTGTTTACTTCCCAAGACATTACCATGAATGCACACCCCTCCCTTCATTACTTCAAGCTTAGTTTGACGCATAGGATTCATGGGTTAAAGATTATTATTCCGCTGTCTCAAGTGTTTTTTCGGTAACTTCAAGACCTCTTACTTTCGGTTCAAAAGTCTTCTTCTAGGCACAAAAACAAGCCAAATAACCAATAAACTTTTACTTAGGCACAGAACACTTATAGATAACAAGTTATGAACTAACCAGTTCAACGCAACAGATGATAGATTTCTCTGGAAAAAGAGATGGACTAAGCTCAGTTCCCAAATAGTCACAAAATTACAGTATCAAACCCGGGGTCTACAGCTTGCTTTGCTTTGCACTCATATGTAAAATTAGCTAGGTTCCGATTGTTGAATTACGAACAAGGTCAACTAATTTGTCTGCATCATCGACATACGTTGAAAATGATTTGCTACAATTTCTCTGACCGCCAGTGGTGGTCACTTAAAGCTGCGTACTAGTGGTTCTGGAATATGTTAATATATCCTGTGGGATGGGTTGACCGATTCTCCCGATACAAATACGAACTCAACTTCAAGTGACCTTATAAATGACATTCAGATTGCGTCCCGCAGTCTGAAGCCTAATTCCTCATCTTACCATAAGGCCAATGCAATCGCGCATCTTTGTGAGCTTGGCTCAAACAGGTTCCAACTTCTGTTGTGCTGTGCAACGTAAGTGGCCCCCAGGTTGTTGGCGTGTTTCACTGTTGTTCTCTCTGTATGTGAAGGTACGGAGTGGGATGAATTTTAGCTTCGTTCTGCAGGGTAATGCCTGGGTAGATGTTGAACGACCTGGTTTTTAATAACTTTCAATCATCTGGTAGTCGATATATTATAAAAACAACCATAGTCTTGTCTAACCTGTGTTTGAACAAAACATTACATATAGACCACTGGAGAGGAGCCACTAAAATGGGGGAATTATGCTTCAACCGATAATCCGTTACACACGCTTCATGAATGCAGTATAATTCGTATTTCAGAGAAACCATAATTTTAACCGGATTTACTTTTGGTGGGACCCAGACAAACTAATGAGCATAATACCTAATGCAACCGAAAAGACAAACTATAATGAGAGGTGGAAATAAAATACTATCAAGGTGGGGAGTGTGATGTTTGCGTTACGTATAGAACTGCCAAAGTTTTATTGGGTTGACTTATTCCCCAAAACGGGGCCCCAAAATATTCACAAAATATTTATTATCTTTGTTTTTAGTGTAATAAATCTNAAGTTTTATTTGGTTGACTTATTCCCCAAAACGGGGCCCCAAAATATTTATTATCTGAGTTTTAAGTGTTAATAAATCTTATCCTGCACTTCTCCTTTTTCACTAAAGATAATGTAGCACAACAGTGGGCTCACAAGGAGTCAAAATATATATGTCTACATATTGAGCAGAGCCAAGAGGACACTAAAGGTGCGTTCAACCACTCTAAACTTATTTATCGCACGTGCATAACATGGACATGTCTCAAGATCAACATACGTGCATCCTGGCCCCAAATAACACGTAGAACAAACTAAAAGAGGGGGGTGGTCTGATTCTGTTGCTTTTCTAATTTGGTGGGGACTGATGCGGATAATCCTTCTGGGATAAAGAAACTGGTGAAATAAAATCACTTAATTCCAAGGTAACGTTAATCATTGACCAGGAGGAGTGAGTTCAAAGCTGCGTAACAGCGTTTTACACGCACATCACGCACAAACTTCAACAAGGAATCGCAGCTTCTCGGTGTCCAATCTGTGGCGGATGCCAGTATCATTCAACAATTTCACATGTTGACCATTACAAATTTTGTGGAAATTTGATGTGTGCTGATTGACTGATTGCTGTTTGATTCATCATCTACCGAAAAAAAACCGGAAAACGCATGGTTCCTAGAAACATGCCGTGAATAGAGGTGAGTACATGGGAGAGGCTTCGGCAGAGAGAGAATACGTGTAGTAGTGAAGGTAATTCGATGCAATATCAGAAACAAAACAACAAAGACTATTAGGCTAACAATCCTCGTTGTTAAACATTTCCGAAGGATCTTTGTGTAGACAAATCATCATGATCAACGTTGGTGTTCATTCTGAAAACAAAATGGAGGAAACCGCCGATTTTCTCCTCGGACCTTCCTAACAACATTATTTACGTGCGCTTATAACGATATTTCGACAGGTGTCGTAAACTTCAAAATTTTCTTACGGTAACATCCGCTTGGAATAATAGCAACCATTTCAATTATCAACCGGCGACTTTACATTTAACTACCAACTCCATAACATATAATAGAAAATACAACAGCGTGATCAGTAACGATAGTTCTGCAACTGAAGGAGTCTGGGCAGTCAACGTCTCCTGGGAAATCAACTGTGTGGCCTAGAGAGCCAGTACCTGAGTTTCTAAAAAGCACATTTCATACATTTTTAAACTATTTACTCCTCATTATGGTTGACTCCGTTTTCAGCACAGTTTTTAGTGGAGTTTTAAGCAAGATAAGCATGCACTAGATCTCCTGTAGGTCAAACGTCTTAACGGTTTCTTTGCTGTGAAAATTTTCTTTTACAAAGTAACACGGTACATTCGTAAAAACATCTGTTTGACTCGTTGGACTAAGAACAAGACATCGCAAGTATCTTCGAAAATCAAACTAAACAGGAGATTGAGCTGCAATTCTAGGACATCTAATTATGCATCGGAAGCTCAGTATTAAATTTTATAGACGAGTGAGTTGATTTTTTTAAAATTTTACCACGTTTGTGATAGACCGAGTGATTAACACTGCTTATCTTTGCCGTACATATCATTACTCAGCAGCTTGAGTAGTTGTGGAGAAAATTATGAGTTCATCCTAGGCATGAAGAATAATTTACTTTGATTTTTTGACATACCAAATTAATCATAAAATGACGTATTTCTCAGGAGAAGACCCGTTAATAAATTTTGCATTTTGTTCGGCAAGAACTGTAGCAGTACTTCAGAAAAGTTCTGAAAAAGTTACAGTTTTCTTCGAAAGATAAAGTCGTTCACAAATCAAATATCTCGTTAATAAAACTACCAATAAATTGGAAATGCGCTTTTTTGTCAGATTGCAGTACCATATCACATTTGTTTGGATATTTATTGGGCTATTCCACTTGCGTTATATTAATTCTTAATGCAGCTCATTAAAGATGTCATATTATTTAACACAAAGATTTTCGAAAATATTGGTTCTCTGTAACTGCAAAAAGCACAGAATTTCGGAAGGATATTCTGAGCCCAGGTGGTACGTTGTCTAAATATCTAATTGTAAGTGTCTATTCGAAATCATGAACTGACTATGCGCTTCTCTTCGTACATCATGCAGCTAACTTAGAAATATGTGATTTGGGCAGAGCAGATTGCAACAAATTTGAACCCGATCAAAACAATTTACCAAAAGGCTGTCTGTTGCCTTATGATGTATTTGCGTAAAGCAAGCCTGCTCTACTGTTTCAAAATTTATTTTATATTTATTCCAGGTGGGTACATCAGTGTCTGATCATCCGCCTAGTCCCCAACGCAGATATACTTTGGATGTCACAAAGTGAGTCATTTTGCATCAAAATCAATTGTGCATAACATATCACACTAAAATAAAAATGGCAAGTCTCTTAGCTGCGTATTGTGTCCTTTATAAAACCGGCTAGTTATTTTGAATGTCTTTAAATTTACAGGTCAGTCCTTCAGCTTTGAGGCCGATCAAGCTCTGTGCGACGAGAGAAATGTATTCGACTCTATTATCTGGATCCGTAAGTTCCTGAATATCTGTGAATGAATCTAATAAACTGACCTCGCTTGATCACCAACGACTTGTTGTACTGCCTTACTGAGCCGTAATATTTGTTGCTGCAGTGGACCATTCAAAAAACCACATCGGAAAATGTCACTATATTACTGTGTTTTATTGCCATTAATGTCATTGTTAGAAACATAAAGCAGCTGTCTGTTATAAATACAACTTGCCGAGACGTCAAATACTGGCTCTCGAGTATCACATTGTTTCATCATCGCTATCTGCATGATTTGCAGCAAACGTCACCCAAAAATGTTTTTCAGAGCAACGCAACCTTCAAATAACCTATTTGCATCTTGGGACACCATCTTATATACCACTTGAAATGCTCTTTGCGGAGAAAGGTTTGATACAATAATTGGAGCATGCCTCGAGGTGCATGGTAGTTTCTTGGTGCTCGTAGAGGGCGCTCACGTAATCGGAGTCAGTAAATAATGTGCTCAAAATTATGCTTTGAACGCTTGGGTAGAAGAGACGACTACTTTAGCTCAACAGGGGCAAAACGTCGAAGCTGAAACGGCAGAAGTAGGTAGCATGTTCAACGGGCGGATACTGAATATAAGTTGATTTTAGTAGCAATCTCAGGGCTCCCTGGTTCAGATTGATCGGTGATAATTCATGAACTAAACCAAAAACGATCAAACTGGACTACAAGTCACTAACTTACACTTTGGTACCTTTTGAAACAAATAGCGGTAACAACTAGCGCACTTTATAAAAAAATTATGTGCAGTTTCTCGTGGTATTAGGAATCAAGATGGGGAGATCTTTCATCTTCTATTTGGACATCTGTGGACTAAACTCTTTTCAGAAAATTTAGTTATCTAAAATCCACACAAGATCATGAAGCTAACAAATGACTTCCGCTTATTCAAGAATTACTTAGGCTTTACTGTCCCGACCTAAAGCTGCCATCCGACCTAAAGCTGCCAACTTGAGGTGGCGGTCGGGCTTGAGTGCTGCAATGATCCCGCGGGCTACACTGGCTGGAACTTTGTTCCACAAGGTACAACCATGCCAGGAAGGCCAAAGGGAGCAGCGAGAACCCGCACAACGGGTAATCGTGGTACGAGGCGGTCTGGGGGTAAAGTCGTACTGTCCTCTGCGACAGGAGTGTGAAGGCAGTAAGGTGTTTCCCTCAGGCGACCAGCATGTCGATATTTATGGAAGCAGCGATGATGCTTTCCCCCGAGGAAGAACGGGTTAGAGAAGGTCGGCCCCAAAATCCGCACACTCCGATCGCCCAACGGTTGACCGTGACCGCCGGCGCATTATCC